CATTTTAAGCAAACCAGATGACAAGATGGAAAATTGCCCACAGCACGTAACATTTCTGTAAACTCAGTTTTTACTTAAGAAGTAATATACAATCAGTTCTTGTTATTCACAGTAGCTATGTTCTACAAAGTCATGACTAATGCTGAATTAGTAAATACTGAACCATTGCTCCTAGGGGAAAAACAGGATTAGGTTCCTGTGAGCTTCTGGTCACAACATTTTTGCCAACTTATCAATACATTACCTTATTTTTTGTGTGTTTTTATTTCATATATACTTGATTCATTACCACTGAACTCACAGCTAATAGCACTGTAACTCATGCCTAAATGAAGCTCATGTAACAAACCTATTTTCTCTGTGAAGCACATCACAGCCGTCTTGTGCTTGGAAAACTACACAGCACTTCAGCACTCCACTTAGGGACCATTTTAAATAGCAAAATCATCCACTAAAAGCACAAAAATGTGAAAAACAGCACTAAATGGAACATGAAAGGACACTTGTTTACAGTATGAGAGCTAAAACAAGAAGGCAAACTATCATCTTCTTTCCCTAGCTGGGAATGTGGGAGTTGGGCAACTCAAATTTTTCTCCCCTGTGCTCATGTTCATGAACGACTGCCAAAGTGCTGCAAGTATTGATTTTGGGGTTACAAATAAATTTTAGTGAGTAGGAGAATTCACAAAGGTGGCATCCATGAATAGTTAGGCTTGACTACACCATCTTCCTTTAGTTCAAAACTATTTTATTAAATCTTTTGCATTTATTAACATTTTCATGTTTTTCAGTATACTGGTCATGAATAGGTAATTTTTCTTCAACAAAAGAACAAAATTATTTCAAATCACATGGAAGTCAATCACATGAATCAGAAAACAAAAACTACTGAAAGACCAAATCTCTTTGCCATAAAGTAACCAGGTTTCACCGTATTGCTAATGTTCTCAAATATTTTTAGTAGCATAAGTTCTCCACAAAAATATTTTAGTTACACTCTTTAACTCCATGGAGGATGGAAAATCTACATAACTACATTACACATTAAGTTTTTAAAAAGGTTTTCCTACTGATCACTTCTTCTAGTGGAGCATTTTGACCCACTACCTCCCATGAGTACTTCTCAGACATAAGATACTTGCCATCCAAACAGATAAATAAAAAGACAATGATGTGTCAATATCACAGCAAGACCTTTAAAAAGCAAAAACAATATTCATTTATACATATTAATCCAAGTACTGTGTGACCTCAAGGAGCAAGATTTGACAACTTTACTGTCAAAAGCTGATCAAAACTTAATAAGAATTCAAGGGGAAAAAAGTACAGAATTCACTCCTAAATTATTTCCTATGAATGCTAATAAAGTTACATTTTTAAACAAAAAATACGTACCAACTTTCAGCAATCTGTTTACAATGATGTTTTCCTAAGTTTACTATTAAATGATAATCAACCAAATTTACACTCTAACCTGTACCAATTTTACTTCCAAAATGGTCCATTAGAATTTTTCAATTCATTATAAAATTATCTAATTTTCAATTGTGAGGAATCTTCAAAACCCTATTTAGTCAAACCAATTTAGCATTTGCCAATAATTTAAAATATTTGTTATTACATGCGTTTCCAAAATAAAATACAAGAATAACACTTCAAAAATTATTTCATGATGAGAACTGGCTATAGTTCAATGAACTTCTAAAACAATCTACACCATGATTATGCTCATCATGCTATATTAATGCAATCTTTTTTAATTTCTCAAAAAAGTGAATATCTAGATCTAGCCCACTATCTTATATAGAAAGATATTTAGAGGTTTTTAAAAATTCTTAAAACTTACTGCATTTTTATGGCAATAAATTGTTTTCCAAAAAGTACTAATAAAAAAATGCAAATACATAAACTAGCCAAGGGGAGGTGAAGCTGTGCTGCTTCTGACTACTGACCCAAAATCCTCTCATCAAGCCCTTCAGTCAGAGGCCTGTCCTACTTCCCAGAAAATAGAGAGGTGGAGAGTGTGGAAGGACCACACACTCCAGTACTGTGCTGTAATGTGACTACTGACCCAAAATCCTCTCATCAAGCCCTTCAGTCAGAGGCCTGTCCTACTTCCCAGGAAATAGAGAGGTGGAGAGTGTGGAAGGACCACACACTCCAGTACTGTGCTGTAATGACAAGGATCTTACAACCAAAGGCATAATTTTACAAGTTCCCCACTTATCTTTGTCTTTATATTACTATCAAAGGTGACTAAGCTTTTTCTGTTAGTCTGCTGTTAGGAATCCTCTTAATGGTCTCCAGCATTTAATTGAAAAGACTTTTTTAAGGACTCTTCACAATTCTGTAACTTTGAAAAATACTGTAAAGAAGCTGTCTTTACAAAGGGCTTATTTTCTTACCAATTGTCTTATTTATATCCTACCCACATTATTCGTTTAAATAGACTAAAATAATCTTCAGCAAAAAAATCTAATTTGCTTATGTACAACACATGCATACCATTTATACCAGGAGTCTGTGCAAACGACAATATACAGGCCAAATCATGCCCACCGCAGTTTTTGGAGATTGTTTCACTGAAACAAAACTTGGTTCATTCGTTTGTTCATTTATTTAATATTGTTTTTAGCCGCTTTAAAGCTACAATAGAAGAGTTGAGTAGTTGGACACATTACACCTGGGCTGCAAGGGCCCAAAATGTTTACTGCCTAGCCCCTTATAGAAAGTTTGTTGATCCCTGAAGGTATATAGCAACACTAATTCCCTGTGGACATGAGGTTGGACACAGACATTTGAGGGATTATAAAAATTAGAAATATATTGTTTAAACATACTTTCAAAAGGCAAGCAGAATTAAAGATCTAATGCCTTAAGAAAAAAAAAAAGCCCCTTTCCAATGATTTAACAGCTTCATCATGACTGTAAACTAAATATACTACAGTGAGGAGGTCTTAAGCAAATTCTGTTTAGTATTTGCAAAAGCACAATAAATATACTGATATCAGTGAAATTATTTTACTTCAGTAACCCCAGAAAATAAAGTCCAATTGCTGCTAACTAACTGGAGAATTCATGCTTTGCCTTTACTAAGGTTTTCAGGAACTGATTAACATAAATAGTCCCAGTGTGTTCCTCCTAATTAGAATTTATAAGCTTTGGCCAATGGCTACCCACTTGGCTAATGGTGTTATCATTCTATGAGTCTTTAGTTCAAATCTTAGCATGTACAGGAAGAATTCCCCCAAAGAATTTTTCTCTCTTTATGCTTAGCAAAAAACAAAAACATAAAATATCCAAAGGGGATCTATCTAAAATGTTTTGTTAGATAGAAACTCAATCCGATGTGAAAAAACCAAGAAAATCATCCCCAAGACGTAATTCATCTGAAATGTTTCTTAAGTGCCTGTGGAAAAAAAAAAATAAAAATCTGGATTTAGAAAAACTAAATTTATTCTTAGCTAATGAAATTCACTAAGGGGCTCAAAATAAGGACCTATACATTCAGCAAAGCCTTTTAGGTAGGAACTAAACAGTTCACCAAGTCATTATGCTGTTTTAATCCCTCTAACAGGCACTCAGGCAGTGACAGGCCCAAACTCGGTGTTCTCCCTAATCTTAAGGCAGCTTTATTTCCTTTGGGCAGAGTGGCCTCTGCAAGGTTGGTTCACAGCCATCTATCTTCCTTCCCAATCATATTACCAATGTCTTTTAGAGACTCGGGTAAAGGCTTCTAAATGAGTTTCTTTCAAGCAGGCACACGTGCATAAATAGATTTACGGAAGATCAATCGGTTCAAAACCGAATGAAGCCGCTTCCCAGAAGCACAATTTTCAAAAAGGGCCACCAAACAGTGGGCAAAAATTCAAGGGCCCAGTTAAGAGGCTTCTAGTTTAGGCTGCTCGTTTAAGAAGACCAGGCCCACATGTCCGTGGAGAGAGAGCTGGAGAGAGGGGTCCGACCGGCCGGGCGCAGGAGAGCGCAGACAGGTCGGCCAAGGGCCGGGTGCGACAGGTGCATGGAGGGCCGCGGGGACGCCGGCGCGCACTCACGCAGGTGGCGGGCAGGGCTGGGAGGGGGGCTCCCTGGAGTCTCGCCCACAAGCAACAGGAAAAATGAGCGCACAGGGCTGAGATGACAACCGAGTAGCGGAAAGAAGGAACGATGGAGGGAAAGGCATGCGACGGGAACGGACTGGTTTCTAATTTTCCTTTCTTTCTCCTCCAATAACTCACCAAGAAAATCACACTGAGAAGACGGGGGGAAGGAAAGGAAATGGGAAGCAGCGTTCCGCAGCCACCAATGCCACCTCGGGAGACAGAACCCCTCACCTCCGGCGACAACCCCTCACCTCCGGCTCTCGCCCCGGTCCGCCCCGCCCCTCCACACAATGGCCTCTGCGCCAGCGCCGGGCACGTGACGCTCCTCCCGCGCTCCACCCACCCTAGCCCCGCCCAGCTCCCCGGGCTCCTCCCCTCCCTCGTCCCCTGTTGGCGTTAGCCGTGCGTCAGCGTGGCCTCGCCGCTCGCTCCGCCCCGCCGGGATTGGGGCCTGCGCACAACAGCCTTTCTGTGTGACGCTTGCGCAGCAGCCGCGCTCCTGACTAGTAGAATTTTTCTTTCCAAATGTACAGAGACGGCAAAGAGCAAGGTTTTTTAAGGGGCACCATTCTTCGCCTCGTTAGTCTCAAAGGCATGTATAAACAGAGGCTTTTAAATGAACTTCTCAGGTCAAAGAAAGCGCTGCAGAAAGAGGGAAGAGAGGAAAACTAGTTTGCAGAGCCGCCTTCCACTTCCCCGTCGCCTAGTAACTGTTTCCACGGCAACTGCGCCGTCAACAACGCTAAGCAATCCCAAGAGGAATATAGAAGGGTTTTTTTCTTCTAGAGAGAGGACGGCTAAGAAGGGGTCAAAGGGGGATTATATGAGAGAGAGAAACCTGAGTTCCTTGAAAAGGCAAGGGAGTGAGAAAGGGAAGGAAATACTGGTATAGGGAGTAAAAAGTTGAGGCTAGTAGTTTTTACGAGTCATTTGTTGGCCATGGATTCGACGTGCTCTTCTGAGAGCATTTATAACCTCATACCCAGTGACCTGAAGGAGCCTCCCCAGCCTCCTAGGTATGTGCGTAAGCAAAGATTATCACTTGAAACAAAGAATGGGGACTAATTATTCCATCCAGGATTAACTAAGCATACATATCACAGGACTTTTAAATATAAATAACACATGTTTTTGTCTCAGTGACTAGCCTTAGATGACAACTTCTTGGGGAGGAGGATGAAAAAATCTAGGTATTTAGCATCTCACAGTACACAGAGAGGACGGTCCAATACTGTGAGATGGCCATTGTTTTATGTTACGTGTCGCCTCCTATTAATACGGTCTGTAATTGTTTCGTAATTTATCTAATTGTTCGTACGTGGTGTGGTATACAATATAGAGTGAAATTTCATATTTTTGTTGAAAAGAGAAAAATCACAATTTTATTGTCCTGTGTTATACTTGATGTTTGGTTTCAGGAATTCAGTGTATTTCTAACTGCACTACTTCCTGCTTCCTCTCTAAAAGGATAGTACTTATATTTTCCCCAATATTATTGTCAAATGTAAATCCCTATTTGTTTCTGAGCCTCAGTTTTTTTCATCAGTGTAACAAAACAAATGGACTAGATAGTTTCTAAGGTCTTTTTCAGATCTAATGGTTGAATGGAAGGAAAAACACAAAGTAAACACTCCAGTTACTCTTCTGTGTAGGAACTGATTAGAATTTATTTAAATCTATGGGGAGAAAAGAAGGTAACTAATGAAGAGAATCTAATTCTCCCAGGACTTGGAATGTTTCCTATCTTTTACCTTTATCTTTTTCCATATGCAAGCAAGACCGCAATAAAAAGAGCACTGAGCTAAAAAAAACAGGCTCTGCAACTAATTGTTTTTGAGATCTTGGATAAAGTTTCATTTGTTTACTGATCTGCAGAACAAATTAAATGGACTAAATAATCTTTAAGGTCCCTTTCAGATATAATGGTCAATTATTTTTACTAGAAATTACTTGGGATGCATAACATCTTCAAGAAGTGGGAAACTCCAATTTTAAGCCTAAGTGAATATCTGGTTATGATACAATTGCAAGAGTTTATGAGGAATGTTCAAACTATCTATTGCTCAACCAACGTTTGGTCCTAAATTTCTGTATACTATATAAGATAAAGCTCTTCCTCTCTGTAGCTTGTATTTTCTGTAGAGTACTGAATTTGAATGTTAAAATATTTTATTAGATAGATATTCTGTTCACTATTAAAAAGCTGTACTGCATCTTTCTGATTTTTTAAAAAAAAATTAATAGAAACAATCTGTATTTATTTGGCAAGCATTAATCAAGCCCCTAGTATGTGTGTAACATTGCCCTAGTATATCAGTTCTTGGGTATGCTAGAGTGACAGCACAAAGTCCTTGGTTTTCCTATGAAGGAATGATAGAAAAATGACTTATGGTGAGAGGGAATAAAAGGCATCCAAATGTGGTGCCAAAAGAACATTTTCTGTTAGCGTGAAGTCAGTTTATACTGGTCAGCAACAACCAAGACAAGTTTTTGACAAAATGACATGCATGCAAACCACTAATTTATAAAAGCAGGGCAGAATGAAACATTGAACCAGTTTTTTCTCACCACACTAGCATGAACTGGTTCTGACTCAGTCTCCTCACTAAAAGTAAGAATTAATCATAAAAAAGAAAGGTATCAAAGCTGCAAGTCCTCATTGTATCACTGAGTTATAAACCCAGCTCCAAGAAAGCTCACTGCAGATTTGCATCACTGGCAAAATTCTGACAACTGATTGCACCGTGACCTCCCACACCACAGAGTTTACAGTCTTCTTGGGGAGCTGAAATATAGGCATTAAAATGCTGATTGACCGGCCGGCCCGGTGGCGCACTGGAGAGTGCACTGCTTGGGAGCGCAGCGGCGCTCCCGCCGAGGGTTCAGATCCCATGTGGAGACCGGTTCCCGCTCACTGGCTGAGCACGGTGCGGGCGCAACACCGGGGGTTGCGATCCCGTTGCCGGTCCCCGGTGGGGGCACAACACTGAGGGTTGCGATCCCGTTACCGGTCAGTAAAAAAAGACAAAAAGGAAGAAAAAATGCTGATTGACCACAAAACAATATATTGTTGAAAACACTAAGGAGAGATGCAGATACTAAATGAGAACTTGGGAAGATGGACATACGTATGTGACCAAAATCGAGTGAGGGAAATTTTCCTGCAGTTGAAGTATGAGCTGGAACTTAAGATATGAAAGTGTTGAAGTCAGTAGGAATTCATGATTCAGTTCTCAAAATCTGAGTTACTCATGTAACATTAGATGCTTTCCAAGATCTTCACCAAATCTGTCTCCCTTCCATTGATGACTGCAGTTATTTAATATCTCCAGTCATTCCCTCTTTTTCCCTTATGTTTAAAGCAATATTCCAGATATGGTCTAAACAGCATGGCCGTGAAACTACTATCTCCTTTTTAAAATACTTGGCATAATACTTTTATTTGTGCAGCCTAAGTTTCCATTAGCATTTTTACAATCATCTCCCACTGTTGGCCCACATTGAAATCCCTGCATGGATTATGACTAAGGTTAGCCTCTCCCATCCTCTAATTACGTAGCTGATTCTTTTTTATCTCAACTCATCATTAATCTGTGGAGATAGTTTTGAATTATGAATCTTTCATATGCTGTTTTAACCATTCTCCTCAGCTTTGTGTCATTTGCAAATCTAATAAGTATGACTTTTATATCTCTATCATTGAACAGAGCAAGTACTTTGCAAATCAGCAGGCTCCTAGACACCTCTCTCTAGGCTGACAGCAATACTTTTTGAGTGTACAGATGGACCCATTAATCAGTCTGTATTTCTCTATGTTATCAGCAAGGATTTAATAAGAGGCTTTGCTAGCATCAATATGAAAATTATTATGTCTAAAATATTTTTCTGATCTATGAGTCTAATAATCTTTTTTTAAAAAAAAATTGATGTTTATTTGTGGTGACCTGAAACTTCAAATGGGCTCATGCAATCATTGGTTTAATACATTGCTTCTCTATGAACTTAATATTCTCTCTACATCTCTTGCCAAAATTGACATCAGCCTCACTGGTGTAGAGTTTCTGAATGCATGCTTCTTGAAATGGGAATATTTAATGCCTTAAGCACCGCTTGTTTTTTTAAAAAAGCCTTTCTGTTTTCATGGCAATTACCATATGATCAGATTTTCATATTTGGAGCTTCCCATTCTTATGGGGCTACCTTCCATTTTGTTGAATGTCAGTACTGTTACGACCATATGTTCTGAAGTCTTTATAACATCTCTTTGTTTAAAGTCTGGTTATGTATCTGACTTAGCAGAGCAATCAGTTCCTTGATTATTATGAACTCTTAGATTACATGATCATTTTCTCCTGAGGTTCTTTTCTTATCTACTTTGATGACTAATTACAGCCAAGAATCCAATCAAGGAAAGCAGTAACCCTTTTAATGAACTTATGTTCAAAGAAAGTCAAGAACATTCCAAAGTCTTTGTTTTTGTCATAATGACTTTTTATGCTAAAATTCCCGTTGCTGCAGTATGTAGTCTCAGACGGAATTCTATGATTAGTGTTAGAAGCTATTATTCATATTTTTTATCTGGCTAGGGAGTCTCTACAGATTTCCACAGTAATAACGCTTATCTTCATCTCTTGTATTTCTTTTATCCAGCTGCTCTTTTCATTCTTATATGTCGGTCACACACTGAAGATGTGCTATAATTAATAGAATCACCTGAGGGATGTAGAAGAAGTGATGGACTGCTAATCTATGTAGTAGAAGGGATAATTCAAAAAGCACTTTTCCCCTTCAGACATATAAATGAGGGGAAGGACGTCCATAAACAAGATTTTTGTCAGCAAGGAAAATCGAAGCTTCCATAGGCATTTATTGGCTTAATGTTCATTTTGAGTTATTGCCTCTAATTTAGATTTCTATAGATAATAGAACATATGGTAAATAGTATTAGTACACATCTCTGGCATTTTGCATATACCTAAAAATGTTGAGGAAAAAAAATAGGCCAATAATATTCCTTAAAATTAGCTGCCAAGGAAATTTGTGTATAAGCTGGCTCATGTGAATGTTAGACTCTTTTTAAGAAGATTACTCAATTACAGAACAAGGCTTAATATCTTAATACCATACAGTGAATCGTAGTATGAGAATTTGTCTTTACAGGTCAGGAAAGTATGTCAGCCTGTATCTGTTATACAAACCATCTAGACACCATGACTTAGTTTTGTAGAGGATAAGACTGTGTCTGTTGGGACACAGGTAAAATCAAATAAAGGGTTAAACAATTTCATTTTTAAAAAATGTAATCAAGATAAATATCCAATAATAACAGGAATAGTATTACTATTAATAATATATTCAGTGTATTAGTATTTACAATGTACAGTGTTTTCCACAATTATTATTTCTCACAAGAACTCTAGGAGATTAGTAGTAATATCCCAGTTTTATGGAAGAGAAACTCAGTCCCAGAAAGTTGAGGCAGCTAGAAAGAACAAGAGCCAAGATGGAGACACAAATCTGATACCATAGTCCATAACTTCAACCAGTTTGTACTCTGCCTCTTAGCCTGAGTCAATAAAACAAACCTAAAGATCACTATTTGCTTCAATTGCATGAAATTTTTTAGTCTTCTGATAATTTATTATATATCAGATACTGTTTGGTATTTATTTACACACTACCTTGTTCTAATGCAACAAGATTTTTTTTGATGAGGCTATCAAAGCAAATGGGAAATAATAGAAAAGTAAGGTAATGCTACAAATGAACTTGTACATGAAATGTATTTTTTTAAATCCCATATGTTTGCTTGAAGTCTAATATATTTTTTACTCAGAGCTACTAGAAAGCACCGAGCCACAAAAGAAGAGAGATTCTTCCCATGATTCTTTAAAAATCATTCACATTCTAAGACACATTGTCCATAGACAAAAGCAAAGCAGTAGCTGAGAAGCACAAGTATTCTTGGGTGCAACCATAAATACCCTTCTTCCATAGTTCGTGAAGAGAGGAGAAC